CAAAGATGTAGCTAGGAATTACTTCTATAAGTAAAACAAAATTGTAATTGAAAACTACCTTTAAAAAGCATTTGCAGGGGCGGCCGGTTTAGCTCAGGTGGTTAGAGCGCAGGCTCCTAACACCAAGGTTGCCGGTTCAATTCCTACATGGGCCAGTGAGTTGCGCCCTCCACAGCTAGATTGGAGACAACAACTTGACTTGGAGCTGAGCTGCTGGTAGGCAGCCGGTTGGCTCAGGTGGTTAGAGCATGGGCTTCATAGCGCCAAGGTTGCTGGTTCATGGTGCTTGTAACACCAAGGTTGCCGGTTCGATTCCCACATGAGCCAGTGAGCTGCGCCCTCCACAACCAGACTGAAAACAACAACTTGACTTGGAGCTGATGGGTCCTGGAAAAACACACTGTTCCCCAAAAAAGTTTTAAAAAAATTTTTTTAAAGTATTTACTTATAGCAATAACACAGTCAATAATACTGTGCTAGCATAGTATGGTGTCAGATGGTTGCTAGATGTATCATGGTGATCACTTCTTTAGGTATATAAATGTTGAATCACTACGGTGTACCCTGAAACTAATATATTGTATGTTAGCTATATTTTTAATAAAAATATTTTTTAGAACGTATTTGCAAAAAGGGGGGTGGGGTGGGGCGGTTTACAACAGAATTCCTTTTTAATACCGAGCTTCTCCAATGCATTTAAAATGTGACCAGTTTAGAGAAGTTTAAAATGTGATCAGTTTTCAGAAACACAGTTTACCCTTTCAGAGGCTCTGATAGAAGACAGCAAGTCATTTGTATCATGGGCAGACAAATGGAAGAGTCTACAGACAGACAACTCATTGCACTCAACTCATTGCACACATGTTAGAAAAAGGTTTTTCTTTTTCTAACACTGTGGTTGTGGGGTCCTTGGACTGAAGGTCAACATGGCCAGAATCCCCGAGATCGCTCTCTCTTAATTTTCCAAATGGCTGACTGTAAGGAATCAGTGCCAGTTTCCCCTTGTAAGTGTGGCCGCAAAGCCAGAGGGAGAAGAAAGGCTGATAAGAACGCTGGGGAGGCTCTTGATAACTCCCAATGTTCCTATCTAACTGTATCTATAGGATTATATTCACAGAGCTATGTTCGTGTTTCTCAACCATTTTATTTTTCACTGTGACCCACCAAGGAACCTTCCTGGATGTCTTTTTCCTAATTATCACCCCCTAACTCTCAGTAAAATATTAATACCACAGATATACTATACATCTGTTTATGCATGTGGCTCTTTGGAGGGTCACAAACTATTGTAATATCAAGAGGTTTTTTTGTTTTTGTTTGTTTTTTTGTCTCGCTCCCCCAAGAGCCAATTTTTGCCCCATTAGGGGTGATTTCATTCCTATTGAGAATATACACTGTGTGTGTGTGTGTGTGTGTGTGTGTGTGTGTGTGTAAAACAAAGAACCAGCATATACTTTCCACTTTCTTCATCATATTTCCTATGTTGTTTCAATTTCCACAGTAATCAAGTATTACTTTTAAATTTTACCAGGGAAAAAAACAACACAGTAGGGCCAGCAGAGTGGTTCAGTTGGTTAAGAGTTAGCTTAAGAGCACAAGCTCTGAGCAACAGGGTTGCCGGTTCAAGTCCCACATGGGCCAGTGAGCTATGCCCGAGCTGAGCTGCCACTGGGCTGCCAACAGGTGGCAGGATGGCTCAGCTGGTGAGAGCACATGCTCCTAACAAGGTTGCTGGTTCGACTCCTGCATGGGATGGTGGCAATGCCTACCCACAACTAAGATTGAACACGGCACCTTGAGCTGAGCTGACCTGAGATGCCAACAGGTGGCTGGATGGCTCAGTGGTTAAAGCATGAGCTCTTAACAACAAGGTTTCCGGTTCGACTCCTGCATGGGATGGTGGGCTATGCCCATCCACAACTAAGATTGAACACGGCACCTTGAGCTGAGCAACTGTGAGCTGCCAATGGGCAGCCAGATGGCGACTGGACTTGGAGCTGAGCTAGCTGCGCCCTCCACAACTAAGACTGAAGGACAACAACTTGGCTGTTCCCCTTCCCCAATTCCTCAACACTGTTCCCCTTCCCCAGTTCCCCAATAAAATCTATTTTTAAAAAATACAATAGTCTCCCCTTATCTATGGGGGATACGTTCCAAGAACCCCAGTGGATGCCTAAAACTGCAAATAGTTCTGAACCCTATATTCACTGTTTTTCCCTATATACATACCTATGATAAAGTTTAATTTATAAATTAGGCACAGTAAGAGGTTAACAACAATAAATAATAAAATAGAGTTATAACAATAGACTGTAAACAAAAGTTATGTGAGTGTGGCCTCTGATCACTGATCTGAGATGACTACTAAGTAACTAACCGGTGAGGAGCATACGAGTATATCTGGTAAGGGGTGGATATTCAAAATATATAAGGAACTCCTACAACCCAACAGCACAAAAGACAAATAATCTGATTAAAACATGTGCAAAGAGCCTGGATAGACATTTTTCCAAAGAGAGATAAATAGCCAACAGGTACCTGCAAAGGTGCTCACCATCACTAATCATCAGGGAAAAACTAGTCAAAACCACTGTGAGATATCACCTCACACGGTCAGAATGGCAATTAGAAAAATGACAAGAGACAGCAAATGCTGGCGAGGATGTGGAGGAAAGGGAACCCTCGTGCACTGTTGGTGGGAATGTAAATTGACGCAGCCACTACGGAAAATTCAAAAAATTAAAACTAGAGTTCTGGTTATTCGATTAATGTCACTCTTCACGAGGCCAAGGACTTGTCACTTTTTGCTTTCCATGATACCCCACCAATGAGCCCAGAGCCTAGAACATACCACATTTCATCGCTTCTAAGACACACAAGGCTTTACATTTATTGCAGGGTGCATCTTACAATCAATGTCTTAGAGTCACCCACATATGGTGGTGAGAGTTCTGGACATACTGGCTGAATCGGTGAAGACCCTCGCGGGCGGGTGCTACTCGGAACCCCCTAAGGGCAATTGCTGACACGGCCAATAGGAGGGCCTGGGTGTGTGTCCCGAGTCCCAGGACCCTCAGCAGGGCTCAGCCAGCACTATGTCACAAAAGTAACACGTCACAGGCACACGGGTTCTCCACTGCTCGAGGCAGGAAGAAGGAAGCGAAGGAGGGAGCCTGAGATTGGGGCAGACCCCTGAGCCCTGCATAACTGCTCCCACTCACTGCTCCCTCTTTCCTACTCTTCTCCTGGTGTCACTTTTGCCCCAACAATGGAGGCTACAGCTCCCTGGAGGGAACAGGACGTGCTGCCTGCACAGGGAGGGGTGCAAAAAAGAACTGCAGCAAGGTGCCCCCAGGTCCACTCACCACTGGCTAAGGCCATGGGCACTGCCCACAGCAGTCACTGCCCTCCCCTGAATGGCCCTAGAGATTCTATACACAACGGAGAGCCAGTCCTGGATAAATGCCAGAGTCAGAGGTGAGTGGGCACAGCTGGGGGGGGGGGTCAGGAAAATCCCTGAGAGTCTTTGCAATGTCACCAGAAGCCAAAGTGAAGGGCAGGTTCAGGCAGGGCCTCTGCACTTGATGTTCCCTACACAAGCTTGGGCCAGCCCTGCCTGCCTTTGGCTCATGCCAGGATGCCCGCTGGGGTCTCTGGCCGGCCTCAGCCCTCAGATAGGCCCTCACACACAGGAATTACAATGACATGTTCCTCCCCACTGTGCCCCCACATCACAGCTGTGGGGCCCCCAGAGCGTGGGTCTGACCTTCTCACCCACAACAAATTTAGACTCGTTACCGTATCTCCTAATAAGATCATACATAATCATTTTATCTTCTATGCCTGAGCTGCAATTTTGTTAAATGTAAATATTTGAGACTTGCCACCCACTTTTATAACCCCGTTTAGCATTTTTTCCCATCTTTAATACACTGAGAACCTCAAAAGAATGCAAGGGACCTAGGCCACAGTCAGCCTCTGAGGGGCCATGCAGAGACCTGCCCGTCTCTCCCCATAGCCGGCATGTAGCCACAGATACTGTGTCACCCTCTGCTAGCAGCAGGACCCCCCCAAACCAGAGCCAGGCACACACTTATCCACTTTCGTGATTTTCTTCCCTGGGTGCCTGCAACCCAACCCTAAACTTGTGTATGACAGCCTTTGCTCTGACAGTCCATATCTCCACTCCCTGAGCCACACCCGCCCCGAGCAGACCTGGACATGCCTCTGAGTTATCATCACTGAGCATGGCGCATGCACAGGGTCTAGAGTCGTCCTGGACGGTAGCCACTCGCCCATCCCACTTGGAACGCAGTCAGACCGTGTTGAGATGAACCGTGGGTATAACACACGCACTGGATTTTGAACACTTAGTCGGACAAAGAGAATGCAGACTATCCCAGTAATAATGTTTTACATGCATTCTAGGTTGAAGTGATACTACTTTGATATACTGGGTTAAGTGACATATATTATGAAAATTACTGTCACTCGTTTCTTTTTGCTCTTTTAAAGGTGGCCACTAGGAAGCACAAGGCTGCCTTTGCAGCTCACATCCTCTTTCTAGGGGCAGCACTCGGACAGACCCTGCAGGGGTTGGCACACGTCGCTGTCAAGGGTCGGATGGTCAATAGTCCTGGCTTTGTGGGCCCTACTCAACCCACCATCGCAGCAGGAAAGCAGCCACGGATACAAGCAACCTGCAGGAACGCACTAGGCTGTGTTGCAGTAAATTCAGATTTGGCCCCTAGACTACAGATTGCCCACCCCTGCTTTGGAGTATTAATAGTACTAAGAAGGGTCATTTCTGGAAAATTCCATTCTATTCATTTTCTCACAGGCCCTCATTAAAAAAAAAAAAAAGAAAGAAACAAAAAAACCTTTCATTCAACTGGGAGAGGGAAATACAAGTCGATTGGAGGTTTCCCTGACTTGGGGCCACGAGGCAGCCCCCCGCAGCCCCAGGCTCAGCTCTCCCAGGGCACCCACCATGCACTCACTTGGGCGTGTGGGCCTCGTCTACACGGTGCGCCAGCTGGAACTCGTGGGACTTGCTCCGATGGAGGGCTGTGAAACCCGGGATCAAGTGGATCAGCTTTCGGGAGGAGGGCGGCGGGGTCCCTGGGGGCTTCAGCTTGTTTTTCCTCCTCATGGGCGGCGGCGTGCCAGGCGGGGTCGCGGTGGTGACGATATTGGGGGTGCGTGGTGGGGTCCGGACGGCGTGCCGCTGCCGGGGTGATGGGGGCAGGGAACGGTGGCCCGACTCCAGCAGCGGCGGCGGCGGGCACAGGCCCGGGTAGGCGTCCACGGTGAGCCTGTCCACATGGGTGTACACGGGGCCCCCGGGGGCGGGGCCGGCGTGACAATAATGCTGGACGCACTTGGGCTGGACCCTGGGGCTCTGGGAGAGGTGGGTGCGGATCCACGGGGTCGGCTCCGCGGGGCACACAGGGTTGTTCTCCTTCCCCGTCTCCGTGGCGGGCCACTGGATGGTCCAATCTTGTTTGGAAAGGTTGCCTCCTGAGTTGGAACAAAGGAGCAGAGAGACGCGGGTAAGCTCTGAGAAAGCCAGGTGAGTCAAATGATCCGCGTGCACGGACGCACCTTACACGGTACACACACGAAAGCAGGTTAGCGCGTCTGCACGCTATACCGTGTGCACGTTTACATAAACTCAGCCACACCACGTGGCCCCTCCCAAGAGAGAATGAAACCGCTTTGTTGGCCCTCTCATCATAACCCCCCTTCAACAGCCTTGCCCTCCACTGTCCCAGGGTTGGGAAGCCCACAGCTCAAAGGTCCCGAAAAGCAAAGAAGTGACTTCTTGCCTTTTAAGCTTCCAAGGGTCTGAGTTCCAATGGTCCCAAGGTGATTTAAAGGATTTTCCAGGATACCCTTTCCCTTACACAGCCATTTTAATACCTAACCCCCATGTGAGATGCATGAATTCTGCAGAAGTCAAGTTCACCCCCGGTCACTCCCTGGCCACCCTTCTGCCACTGCACACATCTTCCCCATCTATGCCATGGTGTGTCCACCACGCAGTCATCCAACAAGCATTTTCCGAAGGTGCCAGGTGCTGCGCCTGGAAAAAGCACAAGAAACCACGCCCAGGCCGGGCCCTGGTCCCTAACCTTCCATTCCACTGACGGAGAGACATAACAGACAAGAGAACACACTCATGAAAGGATTGGAGTTGTGAGTGCTGGGAGGGAAATAAACAGAATGACATGATCAGAAGCGTACTGGCAATGGTGAGTGGTTAACCAAACCGTGGTGCACACCAGCCACAGAACTACTTAGCCACCAAGGAATGAACAATCGATGCACTCAGCAACATGGTGACTCTGCAGAGACGATGTTGAGTGACAAAAGCCAGCCCCCAAAGATTGACTCCACTGACATATCCTTTCTCAAATGACACTACAGTAATGCCTTGGTTTATGAGCATAATTCGTTCCGGAAACAAACTACTCATGTTGTAAGACATCACTCGTTTACCAAGTTAAAAAATGTATTAGAAATGTTTGCTCGTCTTGTGGAATACTCACAAACCACGTTACTCCCAATCCAAGGTTTTACTGTATTTAGAAATGGAGGATAGACTGGTGGTTGCCAGGTGTTAGGGATGATGGACACAGGAAGGAGGGAGGTGGGGGTGACAACACAGGGACAGTTTGTTGTGTTGGAACTGTCCCGTGTCTTCACTGTGGTGGTGGATGCGTGAACCCCCCTAGATGATAAAATTACATAGAACTAAATACATACACACACATGAGAACAAATAAAACTGGGGAAATAACAAGATTGGTGGGTTGTATCTGTATCAATATTCTGGCTGTGATATTATACAATGGTTTTGCAAAAGGTTACCATTGGGAGAAACTGAACAAACTGTACAAGGGACCAACTATAGACTGAATGTTTGCCTCCTCAAAATTCGTACATTGAAATCCTAACCCCCAAGGTGATGGTATTTGGCAGTGGGACTTTGGGAGTTAATTAGGTTAAGATGTGGTCGTGAGGGTGGGGCCCTCCTCATGGGAAAAGCGTTCTTATAAGGAGATGAGGAGACAAAAACTCCAACGAAAGACCACATGAGGTATGAAGGTAGCTGTCTGCAAGCCAGAAAGTGAGCCCTCAACAAGAACCTTGATCTTGGACTTCCAGCCTCCAGAACTGTAAGAAATAAATGTCTTTTGTTTAAACCACACAGTCTATAGAATTTGTTACAGCAGCCCATGCTGACTAGGTACCTCTCTGTATGATTTCTTATAATTGCGTGTGACTCTACAATTAGTCCAATAGAAATTTGAAATGAAAAACTTAAACATAAAAGAGGGTGGGAGGAGGAGAGCTTACTTTAGGAAGAGTGATCAGCGTCCTAAGGAAGTGACATTTAGGCTGATGACAAGAAGGAGATAGTCATGCTAAGAGCCAAGGAGAGAGCATGGCAGGGGTGGGGGGAGGGGAGGACGACGCGAAGGGCAAAAGCATAAAGAAGGGCTTTTTTTTTTTTTATCTTACAGCAGTTCATGCGAAAAAAATGGAGACATTAAAATATAAAAATCCCCACATCGTGAATAAAACGTTAGGTTTTCAGGCCTGACATATGCTAAGTCAAAAAATAAAATAAATCCAATCGTGCATTAACATTTCTTCGCTCCTTTGCCGTACGAGTATTCAGAGTGCAAACACAAATCTGGGTGACATGTTCAGACTCTCAAGCTACAATGTGCAGCCTTTTCTTCATCCTCTTCGCTGAGAGATGGAAAAGCATAATAGTAAAAAAATACCAAACGTACAGGCTCCACACTATCTACGTTAGGGCAGGCACTTTCCTAGGTCCCTTTTCTGGGTCCCTTGAGGACAGTGTGCCCAAGGTGTAGTGACAATGGGCTAACTGGTTCAAGGAGAGGCTGAAGGGACAGGTAAGGGACAGACCTTCAGACCCATGGCCCAATGTGCAATGTGAAGTTTATATCAAATTCAAGCCACTGAGGGTGTTGATCTGAATGGGGTTCACCTCTCAGAGATCACTCGGGCTGCTGCTTGGACAAGAAGAGCCCAGTTAAGGGCGACTATAGGGCCCCAGGAGAAAGATGATTCTGGCTCCGACTAGAGTGGTGACAGCAAAGGTGGAGAGGAGTCACTGGGGGTCAATGGAGAAAAAAATGGAGGGATCTGGCCAAAGGTGATCAAGTGGGCCCTCCCATCATGGGCCAAGAAAGGAGATTTGGGCAGAAATAAATTCCAACTCGTAGCCGACTAGCAATAACAATTATAATTACTATAATATAAAGACCATAACAAGAGCTAATGTATAGAGCATTTGACAGTTTACAAAGTGCTTCCATTAACACTGAATCATTGCCCCATTTTTAATTAAAACAACTCATTTTATTACATATTCATTATAGAAAAAGTAGAAAATTCAAAGAAGGAAAAAGGCAGTGTTGTTCTACAGCCATCGTCCCTGTTACCAGATGGGTGTGTGTGTGTGTGTGTGTGTGTGTGTGTGTGTGTGTGTGTGTGTGTGTGTGTGTGTGTGTGTGTGTTTAAAGAAATACTATAAGATATTTAATGGTGGTGTATCATCTGCTTTTTTTTTCATTTGTTATATTGGGATCATTTGACATGTTAATTTTTGTTACTCTGCGTTCAAAGGACGATTTGATCTCCACTTTGGTAGATTAAAAAAATGAATGTGCAGAAATGAAGACGTGCCCAAGACGGGAACTGGTAGCTGGGTATCAAACCCAGGACCCGGGCCACCTCCACAACCAGGGCACAGGGGTCTGTGACAGAGAGCTGGGTCCTACATTTACTGGAGACCACTGACCATCATAATCAGCCAACTGGGAATAGAGGCTGGAGCATTTCTGGCAAGAGCTTCCCTTTACCCTCCTCCCAGACTTTGCCAGAACAGTCTACCAAAGTCACCATCACTATAATGTTTATTCTCAAATACCTACACATACACATTAGCCCAGGGACTAAGGGAGCCAGCTGTGGAGTCAGATGACTTGGCCGAAATTCTGGCTCCCCCACTTACTGGCTGTGTGACCCTGGGCACGCATCTAACCTCTCTGAGTCTTAGCTTTATCACCTGTGAAATGGGGCAGGGATAGGACCCACCTCAGGGGAATATAAGGATCAAATGAAATAACACAAGTGATCTCCTGGCACACAGTGAGTGCTCCATGAAAGTTAGTTACCCTCAGTGTCATTCTCAACACTATGGTAATAGGGCACCTTCCATTTAAAGAGTGTGCACTTGTGCTGAGGGCTGGAGGTGGAGCAGATGCCAACATCATCACCTCTAGGAAGCTGATGCTCAGAGAGGCAGGGCAGCTCTGAGAGCCGGGGGCAGATAAAGAATCAAGCCCAGGTCAGCCTCCCCATCACCCAGCTCTGGATTGACATTTGCTCCGGGAATACAAACTCATTGTCCAATTAGCCTAAGTAAAACATGCCTAAGGAAGTCGATCTGGTTTTCAAGTTATCTTAATTATATACGGAAGCTTTGGACATTATCACTACAGCTCTTACCCTCCTGAATGAAATGGAAAGAATAGGGGATTGGGAGTCAGGAAGGTCTGGCTTAGAACACTGCCCTCACCAGACTGACCAGCTCTGTGGCTCTAAGCAAGACCCTTGACCTCTCTGAGCCTGTTTTGGGCTCTGTAAAATGAAAGTAATCATGGTTTCCTTGGAGGGTGCAGTGAGGATTAAATGTATTCATTCAGTCCTCCAAGTATTTCACGAATGTTTGAACGTCTCTCGTGTACCAGGCACTGTTCGGGGCACCAGGAGGGATGGAGCAATGCGTACGTGTTAGCTATTTTTCCCTCCTCCCCTTACACCCCGTCAATCCACGTGTCCCCATCTCCACCACCACAGCCCCACCCCAGGTCCTCATCACCTCCATCCAGACGCCTTCAGCAGTCTCAGGCTGGCCTCCACCTGGCACCCTTGGCCTGTCTAGTCCTTTCTCCATGCATCTTTCCACAGTGCCCCTTTAAGCATGTCCCTCCCCTACACACAGAGGGTCCTTTTGAGCAACAAGAACGGATGCCCATACACCTGTGCACCAGCATCTCTGGGACCCGTTGAATCCCAAAGGGACAGAAGGAGTAGTAGGTGTACAAGTGTGCACTCTGGGCCAGCACCCTGGGCTCTAGCAGGGCTCTATGGTAAACGGACCCCATCCATGGGACTAGGCGGCTTTCAAGTCACATCATCAAGGAAGCACCAGCCCCTCCCGTGGTGTGATCAGGGGCTGGATTAGAACAGTGATATTATGGGCAGAAACCTGACCTCCAGTCCCAAACCCCTTTCTCGGCATTTGCCAATTGGGAAATTCAGCCTTTCCCTCAGCATGAGCAGGGGTTCAGGCCGAGCCTTGGGGATTTAGCAGGAACTTAGCTTCCATCCCATTGTCATTCACAGTTGGGGGAGTGCCAGCCCCTCCCTTGGCATGACCTCGGGGCTGGGGTCCAAGCCTCACAGCTGCATGATGTAGGAAGGCAGAGCTCCCACCTGGCCTGTGACCGGGTTTGACAGCTGTGAACCTTGGCTGCCGTAGTTTCCAGGAGGCCAGTCTCAGGGGATCAGTCTTGCTGAGCCCTAGCTCTCAGCATCCGTCCCCATCCACTCAGCAGAGCCAACCCCTGAATGGTCCTCCTACGCTCTTCCTTTACAGCCTCTGGGCTTGAATTTCCGCCTCCCGCAAAACATCTCCAGCAACACGGTACTACTCGCATTCCCCAAGCTTGCCACGTTCTGTCATCGCCTGGCTTTCTCTCGGACATTGGATTCCACCTCATATTGTGAGTACTTATTTATTTATTTGAGGTGAAACTCCCAGAACACCCAACGCACCATTTTAAAGCAAATAATTCCATAGCGGTTTGGTACATTCACTGTATTGTGCGGCCACCACCTCTTTCGAAGAACCGAAACATGTTTAGCTCCTCAAAAGGAAACCCCGTGCCCATGAAGCAGTTTCTCCCCAGTCCTTCCTCCTTTCCACAGTCCCTGGCCACCACTAGTCTGCTTTCTGTCTCTATGGATTTGCCTTTCCTGGACATGTCATGTAAATGGAACCATACACCTAGGCAGTGTATGATTCGTGTCTGGCTTCCTCCACTCAGCATAACGTTTTCGAGGTTTATCCAAATTGTTAGCGCTCCTTTCCTTTTATGGATGAATACCACCCCATTGTATGGACATACCACATTGTGTTTATCCATTAGTCAATCAGTGGACATTTTGGTGGTTTCGACCTTTTGGCTATTGTGACGAGGGCCACGGGGATCCTTCACATACAAACATTTAAGTGCCTGCTCTCAATTCCTGTGGGTCTGTACCTGGGAGTGGAATTGCCATGAGCACTGATTTCATTATCCATCTTCCCACCAGACAGAGGGATGTTGAGGGCAGGAGAACGAATGACAGACACTCTCCCCAGGGGCCGGCCCAGTGAATGGCTGGGCGAGGGAACTGGATGGGTTCCAGGTATCCAGAAGAGATGATGCAGTCATCCTCAATCACCTGCCCATCTGTCTGCGTCATCGTGGCGGTCCAGACTCTGTGCTGAGGGCTTCGCTCCTTTTATCTCATTAAGCCGCTCCTCACTTCACTCTGAGATCGGCTCAAATGCCCACTGTCAACTCCTCGCCCTTCTCTACCTGAAATGACCCCAGGCGCTGGTTTTTTTTTATACCAGAGACCTGCTTTTTTTTTTCCTCCAGAGCACTTATCATCGCTGACATGGCATAGATAATATACTGTATAGGACATATTACAGATAATGTCGATATCATGCATTTGTTCATCCCCTTCTCTTCTCCGTCCCCCCACTAAGAATGTGAGCTCTGCGAGATGGTCGGTCAAGAACAGCAGCAGACGCTTGGTCTGCGATAACGAGGACCTGGGGTAGGGCTGTGGTGGCGACAATGGGGGCAAGTGGATTGACTGGGTGTAAGGGGAGGAGAAAAACATAGCTAACGTGTATTGAGCACTTACTACGTTCCTGACGCTGTTGTTCCGAGAGATTTACTTGTATCAAATTACACAGCCACACAGCAATCCTACCAAGGAGTAAACAAACGTTTCTCTATTTTATAGATGAGGAAACTGAGGCACAGAGCAGTTCAATGACTCACTCAAGACCATGCAGCCGGGAGGGACAGCTGGGGTTTGGGTCTACACCCTTAACCATGACCCTGAGTCAAGGCTGACATCCTGGTTTCCAGCCTGGGTCCCACGGTGGCTGGCGGCACCGATCACAGTGATCGGACCCACAGGAGAAGGAAATAGAGCATCGACGAGACGGTGAGCTCAGGTCAGACAGGCCGAGCCTGAGGTCCCTACAGGACATGCCGGAGGAGAAGGTGGGATACAGGAGAATTTCACCTGCTCCTTCTTCTCCCTAGAATCCTGGGATCACTCCTCAGGAAGAAGATACTTTTCTAGCCTGAGAAAATTGATCTTGAAAGTCTAATTCCTCCCAAGCCTATGCCATAGAGCAAACTGCAGCTCGCGAGCCACATGCGGCTCTTTGGGTACGTACATGTGGCTCTGAAGTAAAATTGGAAATGAAAATAAAACTATCATAGTCTCATTTATCAAAGTTTTAAAGGACATTGTTCACATAATGGTGATTTCATTTGTTTTATGGCTCTCGAATAATTTTTAAATTGTTGTGAGGGACAAGGCTGGCTCTTGCGTCTCAAAAGCTTGCCGACCCCTGGCATAGAGTGTCAGGCTCATCTCTGATTTTTTTTTTCTTTTTTACAATGACAAGACATGGCTTCATCGCATTCACCTGTCTCCTTTCCCATCTGATTCCTGAGTCACCAGAGCAGACATCCCATATCCCTGAATGACAGGTGGGGGGGGCGGGGAGGTCTGAGCACATCACCCGCTGCCTGGCTCTCTCAGATGGAGAGAAACCCCTGCATTTAGAAGACTTGTTCCCTGAAGCACAAAATAACAAGAATTAATTCTAAGTAAACATTAAGCAAGTAACTAACAGGTTTTCTATGCACAGCGCCCCCTGAACTTTGCATCAGGATGCTTAGAAATTAGTTTGCCCCAATCTTTCTTCCCTGTGACTCAGTTTCTTCATCTGTCACATGGAGATAACATATAGGATTTCCCTAGGATTGTGCTGAGGGTTAATAAAACCGTGCACATAGAGCATGTAGTGTCATTTCGGGCACACGGTCAAGGCTGCATGAATGTCAACGTAACATGGGAGTAAAACCATCTATTTCCCATGATGCTGGTGAGGATTAAATGAGATAAGCATGTAAAATGCCTTGCATTTAGTGCTTATATCTCTGACCCGGCCCTACAGAAAGCAAACCCATGAAGCAAAGCCACTGAGCCTTTACTGCAGTGGAACTGTATCCCCTCCAAAGACGTGTTGAAGTCCTCACCCTCAGGACCTGTGAAGGTGATCTTATTTGCAAACAGGGTCTTTGCAGATGTCATCAAGGTTAAGATGAGGTGATCCTGGATTAGGGAGCACCCTAAACCCAATGACTGGCACCCTTATAAGAAAAGGAGAGGCCACGCAGAGGAGAAGGCTATGTGAAGAGAGAGGCAGGGGCTGGAGTGATGCAGCTCTAAGTCAGGGAAGACCAAGGATTGCCAGCAACCACCAGAAGCTAGGAGAAAGGCATGGCACACACACAGTCCCCCAGGGACCTTCTGGGGGAGTGTGGCCCAGCAACACCTTGAATTTAAACGTCAAGCCCCCATAACTGTAAAAAAAAATATGTTTCTGCTGTTTTAAACCACCTATTTTGTGGTGGCTTTGGTACAGCAGCCCCAGGAAATTAATACATCCCTCAACCAGAAGTCAGCGCCATTCACAGAACACAGACTGGGGAGTTACAGTATAAAAGTTAGGCGCCTACCGGACCCAGTTAGGGGGATTCAGCGCTTATTTTGCCTGCCCTGTAAGCCTGGTGCTATTGATCTGTTTTATAAATGAGCTCTGGGTGAGTGACAGGACTTGGCTCAAGTGCCGGAGGTGGTAGTAACCTACAATCTCGCTATTCCCCCTTTATTTCACGGCATCCTGCAGTGGAGCTGGGACCCACTGCCTCCCTAAGTCTACAGTTCCTACACACACACACACACACACACACACACACACACACACTCCTGGATTCAAGGAAGCACTGAGTTTCCCCGCAAGAATCCCATTCCTAAAGTTGTTTCGAAGTTTGAGAGATGAATAGAGAGGAAGAAAAAGATGTATCCCCTTGCCAAATTCCCACTTCCATCAAATTCTCTTCTCTCCACCCCTACATCTCAAAATCAGAAGTTTGGGGGTGAGGAAGCAAAGCCTCATTTCATCCTCCAAATCGCCAGCTGCTCGACTGACAGGGATTCAACTTCTCTGCCGTGGCTTCAGAAGTGTTTCACTGATGGGCTATATTATATCACCTCTTCCCCTCTCTCTTTTGATCCTCTTTTTAATAAAGTCTGAGGGAAAAAGGTAATTTTTCATTTTAAATAGGGAAGGTGTGTACCAAGGTGCTCTGAGGGTTATTAATCGTAACCCTTGTTATCTTGTCATCCATTTTTGGAAAACCATTTTATTTCAAGTCTTGAAATGGGCGGGGAGAAAGGAATAGGTTTTCAGGAATGAAAGGTCTGAGGGTTGATTAAAGACATTTCAAGGTGTAGGGGTTTTTCTCGTGACATTCTCTGATAAGGGACTTAGACAAATAAAAGGCATTCTCAAGGGAGAAAACGATTTCAGAAAGTCTAGGCAGGTTTCTAACTTCTTTGTCCCTTCCCATTAATATTTTATAAACAGGTAAATGAGTGGCTTAGAATTTGCCTGAATTTCAGAGCCTGTATCAAATGTGTATATGCTTTAGCCCTTCACAGGCAAGACTGGCAAAAAAAAAAAAATTCTGCTTGTAACTTCTGTGACTAATTTCAAAGCACTTGCTGATTTAATCCTCAAAACTTTCTGGTGAGAAACAGAACTTTTAGATGCTAGTTGAATATATTAGACTGAAGTCACTGATGGAACAAAAAAGTAGTTTTTACTTTAATCCTCATAACTTTGCAGCAAGAAACAGAACTTTGAGATGCTGGTTGAAAATGTTTGGCGCCCTTGGTAACACAAAAAAGAGTAGCAAGAACAAATAGTATTAACACTAATAACAGTTACTGTTTATTGAGCATGTACTATATGCCAGATAGCATTCTAAGTCATTTATATGCATCACTTCACATTATCCTCACAAGACCCCGATGAAGAAAATTCTGCTATTGTTTCCATTTTACAGGGGACGGGAGGGAGGATTATCGAAGAGACAGAGTTGCCCAAGTTCACAAAGCTAGTGAGGGGTCGAGTTCGGCTTCTAATCCAGGTGTGTACACCTCACCACCACGGCTCTCCCAGGAGCCTCCCAACTCCCTCGGGAAATAAGAGACCCATCCAGAAAGCCCTTGAAAGGCTGAGCCATTTTACACAGACCTTTCAGATCAGCCCCAAATAACGACCCTTCTGACCCTTCAAATAACGACACTCGTTCTAGCCACAGTCCTTGAAAGGGTGAAATCGGCAACCCAGGAAGAATTTTCAAGTTTCTAGTTTGCAGGACTTGCAAAAAAGAAGCGAACAGGGACATGGAAAGGAAACCATACAGTTGCCAAAGCAACTCAACACTGGCAAGAATCTTAACCTAAGAACTCATTCATGAGCTTGACATCTGACCAAACCGTGGGTCCTGCTGGGCACTGTCCCCACCTCAGGCCGGCCCCAAGTAGAACCAAACAAAGGCACTGACCCCAGTCTGTGCAGGTCGGTCATCTGGGAGACTGGCCACGACAGGGAGCTTGGGTTCTGACCCAATAATGCTTCCCAGGTCCTGCTCTATTAGGCATTTGTGATTTTATTATGTACCAGGAGATCTGGCCAGATTAAGCTTCAGTCGCTAACTTTAGGACAGCTTTGCTGTTTTAACAAAGCTTCTTTTCTTTTTTTTCTAATTTATTTTTCACTAAGATGAAAGTCACATTAACCTTTTTTTCTTTTTTAAAGATTTTTATTTAAAGATTATTTAATTGGGGGATGGGAACAGCGCTGGGGAATTGGGGGAAGGGGAACAGACAAGTTGCTGTCGTTTTGTTCTTCAGTCTAGTTGTGGAGGACGTCGCTTCACTGGCCCAAGTTGGCACCATCATTGCGCTCTTCCCGGGTGAGGCAGATCAGTCGCCGGCTTCTGGATGGCCGCTCACGGCAGCTGCTGGCCGCTCACGCTGGCTGCTGGCTACACATGGTAGCCCATGGCAACCCACTGCCACAGGGGCTGCAGCCTATGCCATCGCCGGCGACTCACGGCAGCCCAGCTCCAGGTTGAGCTGTTGTTCAGCATCTTAGCTGTGGAGGGCAGTGTCACTGGCCCTCACATGTGGGATCCGAACCGGGGCCCTCTGGTGTCCCAAGCCAACTCTTAACCAACGCGCCACTCAGCCGGCCCCAGAGCACTTTTAATGACGGCCATAGCTAACGTTCATTGAGTGCTTATTGTGAGCCA